TTCTTGGTTCCTCGTAAAGCATTTAAGAAAATTAAGCGTTCTAACCTTCGTTAATGGTCTTTCCAAAAACGGAATATAGTAGTAGCGAAGAAAGCCGGTTAGTGTATACCACTTCTTGTTCTCATCACCGTCATCATCGTAACCAGCTTTCTTCAGCATCAGCGCAGGCGGCGGGACTGGATAAAGGTGACCGGCTATGGATAAGTCGCCCACTGTACGATTTCCGGATGTAATTTCTAGAGATTCTGCACCAAGCTGCAAAATTTTTCCATGAAATTACAGAATTATACTTTCTGCTCTTCAATTTTTTCTTATACTCAGCACTTTACTTCGACTATAAATACATTATCTGCGACTGCTACTTAAGTAGCAGTAAAAGCATATAGAACAACTATAAAATCACCAGTGAATACTAAAAATACTCATGGAAAAGGCCCAATTTCCCGGGGATGTAGTCACAGATAATAGTTGCTATTCGCTTTTATAAACTGTTACTCATTATTATTATTATCACTATTATTAATATTATTATTACTATTATTATCACCATTATTATTACTATTATTATTACTGTTATTATTATTACTATTATTATTATTACTATTATTATTACTTATTACTTATTATCATCTACTACTATTATTCATCTCTATCGTTACATTACTTGCTAGAAGCGTAAGGTGAGATCGACTTCATGTTGTTCAATTTTTTCACGACCTGTCTCGAAATGGTATTTCGGAAACTGATCTGAAAAGGTGGCCAGGGGAAGAATGATGAGTAGTTAGAACAACTAAACTTTGCCATTAAAACATTTCTTCCTGCGAGCAAGTCTGACGAGATAAGCGAGATGCTGCGCAGGAGCTTGGCGCCAAAAGGAACAAATCTTAGGGCTAAAATTGATGCATCGAAAACGAAAGTGACGAAAAATGACGGTAAGCCTAAAACCTGAAATGCAGATAAACGGTGTTGACTTGGAAGAAGTTGATACTGACGTCTGACTTGATCAGGAGGTATATATACTCCAGTAACAATAATAATACTGGGAGACCCACACTAACTGCCTCGGAAGTCCCATTATTATTACTTATTGTTATTTTCACTAGTATAATAATGCTTATCATTTTTATAAATGAAAGCTAATCTTCAGCTCAATTTTATTTCATTCATTTTAACCCTTCACTACTTCTACATCAAAAAAAGCCTAAATATCACAGCAGCAAACCTTTTTAGCTTCGGCAGGGCTTCCCATACAGCAACACCCCAAATCACGACGCCCGGAACGTCGCCTTCGAAGATCAAGTGCTATCATAGCCGGATATATAACCATTATAGCCACCATATTGAATGTTAGCAAAATTGCTGTCTGAAATAATTTTAGTTGCTATCCACAGATGCAAAATCTTCCAAGCCATGCGTGCATTTCAGCTATAACTTAAAAATACCAAGAATACCAAAACAGCTTGGATATCATTATGGGTATTCTGTGTTAGTGATGTAATAAAAATGCACCTATACGTCTATAGGCGGATCCAGGAGGAGGGAGGGGGGAGCAATGGGACGGAAGACCTCCCTCCCACCTCTCCTAGGCGGTACAAGCACCAGTACTGCAAAAGTCCGGGTCTAAAGCTAAAACTAAAGTAAACTGAAGCCTAAAGTAATTCTAAGTAGCAGTATTACAACTCTATTCCTAGTTTTTGCATAGTGCTAAGCTGAGAGGGGACTCTTTTCCCCGTCGCCCCTCCCAGGGGCCCCACTCTGGCCCATGTCCCTCCACTCGTTAGCCCCCCCCCCGCCCAGGAGCCCGTTCTCGATCCGCCTGCAGCTATGCCAGGTCCCTCGATCTTGAATTACATCCTCCAAGTCAAACCCATCGCTTGGTAGATGAATATGCGCCATCTCTTTGAGTTTATTAATATAAATTTTTATTTTTTTCAAATTTCTCCGCTCAAATTCATTTGTTATTACCTTGTATTTTAAGCTAAAAAAAATGCAAGAATCATCACCTGTGAGCAGAATGACCTCAGTGCTGGAATGGGCAACAGAGTGCCAGCCATGAATGCAATAATATTATTTACAGATGTAATTACAATACTCATACCCGTTTCTTTCATTAGTACACCTGAAAAAAAAAAGAAAAAAAAATAACAGCCTCGTAAGAATTTAAATTAAACCATTCATTTTTTGCCGCAAAAAAAATGAAGAACTTAAAAAAATACCAGAATTTGTTAAAAATATTGATTTTGACAAATTCGACAGAAAAAAAAGTAATATTATTAGCAGTAAATATGCGTAGAATCGAAAATCAGTGATTATTACCTATTTCATTATTCTTTACAGTATGAAGGACATCGTTGTAGTTATGCAGCAACAAGAACATATCATCAACACCAAGTCCCAGTGTTAAAAACGGTACTATCTAAAAAACTTTTGAAATCATTAAAAAATTAAAAACGCAACTTTTAATTATGGGCAAGCCAATTAGCAAGAAAAAGAGAAAAAAAGGAAGCATAAAAATAATGAAAATTAGAAAATATTTTTAAAAAAAATGAAGAAAAGAGACAAAAGGTCAAATATAAAAACTTAAAATCGGTAAACAGAAATATATGAAAACTGAAAAACTTGAAAAGACTAAATAGAGGAAAAAATGAAAAATCATACCAAAAAAATCAAAAAAAACAAAAAATTATAAGAATCGGAAAAACCAGAAATAAAAAAAAATGCAAAATTGTTATAAAAAGTTAAAAAAAAGCTGACCTGTGTTGTTGCAGCATTAAAGTGAATTCCAATATAAGATGAGAGGCCAAGGCCAGATATACTGGCATAAGTGACCAGGAATACACCAAGAATGCTCAGGCCGACCGAAGAATCCACAGCAAACCAGCAACCGTCCCATTTCAGTTGCGTCCAACCCGCATAAATGAACTGAAAAAAAATATAAAGTATTCATCTGTTGCATCATGATTCCCTCCCAGGTAGGTCGTGTAATGGCGCGAAAGTGGCCTATATCCGTATCTGTATTGAAAAGTAGTGCCGATCCAGTGGAGTGTCGATCCAGTGTAGTACTGTGGTATTGTGGACGACTCACGAGAGACGTGGACCCTGCTGCTACCCCGAACAGTCGCCAAGGAGCCGACCACCTGACTCGACAGGCCGGAGCACCGGGTCAGTCGGAGGAACGTCCAGCCAGTAAACCCAACACACCTCTGTGATATAATATTCATAAGAATGATCATAAATATTCTATTTATACGATATGTGAACACAGTATTCATAATGTATATATAAATATAATATTCATAATATGATCACCTATATGCACATTTTGAATGATATTCATGAAATGTCAAAAGACAGTTGGAAGGCCACTGATGCTTTGGGTCGATCCGCTAACTCAAAATTTTAAAATGTGCTATGGATGCGGAAAGCCCAAGGCTGAAATCGATGATACTATCACTTATATTATTAGAGAACTTTGCGAATATGAATCAGAATCGAATTAGTAGCCGTTTCAAGTATTCAAGTAAACGATTTCGTATATTACACTAATGTCACTTAAAAATAACCAAGAAAAAGACAAGCAAAAACTAACCATAAGAAAATATCCCATAAAAATAACAAGAAATTTGAACTGACTGAATTCTTTTAACA